CAATGTGGGACAAATGTGTTGTTTTAAAGCCCCACCTCGGCACTTGTCGGGGGCCCTAATATAACCTAACGGCAAAACGGGATTTCTGTGACTTGTGTCAGGGTGATTCTCATCCGATTGAGGCACTTTGTGTCGCTGGGTGTTTATCGCTCGTTGTGCTATCGTGATTGGGTTAAACATCACTCACTCACTCATTCGTTGTGTGTTTTTTCCTTATTATTCTCTTTTTTTTATCTCTTTTAAAAGCTCTCTCTCTCTCTCTCTCTCTCTCTCTCTCTCTCTCTCTCTCTCTCTCTCTCTCTCTCTCTCTCTCTCTCTCTCTCTCTCTTGTTTGATAACCGAGAACTGATATTAATTAATCTTTAAAAAGCTCTAAGTTACAACTTAAAAAAAGTAAAGGACCCTTTTCCACGCCTTTAGTCGTATAGGGCATATAGGGCTAGACCTATATTTTATAGACCAATCAGCACAAGATGGATGATGTGGTCAGTATCACGCCAGCCGCCTTTACTTCCCGGGACTGCACCCAGTACCCACTCAAGGCTGGGTCGACCTGAGAGCCAAGGTAATTTTTGACACGTCCGGCTCCACCAGGAAGCGAACCTAAGATCTTCCGATTCTCAGCAAGCGTCTAGCCGCTCTACCACGGCGACTCCCTTACAACGTAAAGCATTTGTTTTATTAATTTCCCAAATGCAAAATCACATACTGTGTCATCAACAGATAGTTTGTTTGCATAACATGTCGCTTTCTATAAAACGGCTTCAAAGTAGACCTATGGTAGAAGAAATCTGCGTTTAAAATATCTTACAACACCCCCCCCCCCCCCCTCTTTATGTATGTTTTAGGAAACGGAGGATAGTTTTTAGCCCCTGCACATTTTATGGCCCTAAGTAGTATCTTGTCTCTACTTATGAAAAGCTTCGTGGCATCCAGACAGGAAGAGATTTCTGAATCTTGGGTACTGTCCCTTTCATTCAGGTCAGTTCGTGAGATCTCTCTATTTTCTACGAGCGCTGAAATAAGCCACTGTCGGTTTGCTGGACCAAACACAGTGTTTTCAAACTTTTTAGAAAGTCACAATTGAACTATACCAGCGGTTCTCAACCTGTGAGTCGTGACCATATTTTCGGTCCAACGACCCTTTCACAAGGGTTGCTAAAGACCATCGCAAAATACATATTCACATATGAAGTAGCAACGAAAGTAAATGTATGATTCGGGGTCACCAAAACATGAGAGAACTGTATGAAAGGGTCGCCACAACATAAGAGAACTGTATTAAAGGGTCGCCAAAACATGAGGGAACTGTATTAAAGGGTTGTCACAATATGAGGGAGCTGTATTAAAGGGTCGCCACAACACGAGAGAACTGTATTAAAAGGTTGTCACAACATGAGAGAACTGTATTAAAGGTTCGCCAAAACATGAGGGAACTGTTTTAAAGGGTTGTCACAACACGAGGAAGCTGTATTAAAGGGTCGCCACAACATGAGGGAACTGTATTAAAGGGTTGTCACAACATAAGGGAGCTGTATTAAAGGGTCGCCACAACATGAGAGAACTGTATTGAAGGGCCACCACAACATGAGGAACTGTATGAAAGCGATGCCACAACATGAGAGAACTGTATTAAGGGGTCGCCACAACATGAGGGAACTGTATTAAAGAGTCGCCAAAACACTAGAGAACTGTATTAAAGGGTTGCCACAACATGAGGGAACTGTATTAAAGGGTCGCCACAACATGAGAGAACTGTATTGAAGGGCCACCACAACATGAGAGAACTGTATTAAAGGGTCACTACAACATGAGGAACTGTATGAAAGCGTAGCCACAACATGAGAAAACTGTATTAAAGGGTCGCCACAACATGAGGGAACTGTATTAAAGAGTCGCCATAACACGAGGAACTGTATTAAAGGGTCGCCACAACACGAGGAACTGTATTAAAGGGTCGCCATAACATAAGAGAACTGTATTAAAGGGTCGCCACAACATGAGGAACTGTATTAAAGGGTCGCCACAACATGAAGGAACTGTATTAAAGGGTCGCCACAACATGAGGGAACTGTATTAAAGGGTCGCCACAACATGAGGGAACTGTATTAAAGGTTCGCCACAACATGAGGAAACTGTATTAAAGGGTCGCCACAACAGGAGGAACTGTATTAAAGGGTCGCCACAACACGAGGAACTGTATTAAAGGGTCGCCACAACATGAGGAAACTGTATTAAAGGGTCGCCACAACATGAGGGAACTGTATTAAAGGGTCGCCACAACATGAGGGAACTGTATCAAAGGGTCGCCACAACATGAGGGAACTGTATTAAAGGGTCGCCACAACATGAGTCAACTGTATTGAAGGGTCGCCACAACATGAGAGAACTGTATTAAAGAGTCGCCACAACATGAGGGAACAGTATTAAAGGGTCGCCACAACATGAGAGAACTGTATTGAAGGGTGGCCACAACATGAGAGAACTGTATTGAAGGGTCGCAACAACATGAGGAACTGTATTAAAGGGTCGCCACAACATGAGAGAACTGTATTAAAGGGTCGCCACAACATGAGAAACTGTATTAAAGGGTCGCCATAACATGAGAGAACTGTATTAAAGGGTCGCCACAACATGAGGAACTGTATTAAAGGGTCGCCACAACGTGAGGAACTGTATTAAAGGGTCGCCACAACATGAGGAACTGTATTAAAGGGTTGCCACAACATGAGGAACTGTATTAAAGGGTCGCCACAACATGAGGAACTGTATTAAAGGGTCACCACAACATGAGTAACTGTATTAAAGGGTTGCCAAAACATGAGAGAACTGTATAAAAGGGTCGCCACAACATGAGAGAACTGTATTAAAGTATCGCCACAACACGAGAGAACTGTATTAAAAGGTTGTCACAACATGAGAGAACTGTATTAAAAGGTTGTCACAACGTGAGGGAACTGTATTAAAGGGTCGCCACAACATGAGAGAACTGTATTAAAAGGTTGTCACAACATGAGGGAACTGTATTAAAAGTTTGTCACAACATGAGGGAATCGTATTAAAGGGTCGCCACAACATCAGAGTATTGTATTAAAGGTTTGTCACAACATGAGAGAACTGTATTAAAGGGTCGCCTCAATAAGAAGGTTAGGAACCACTGTACTTGACAATCACATTCAGACTAGTTTAACTCATCTACTCTAGGATGTCTGAAACCGACCCCGGTTAGATTCTAGTTGAAAATTAAACCTTCCCTTTCCCGGCCATCTTGACCTAAAGTTGTAGCACTGTTAGCAAACAACAAAGGGACACAACCAGCATTCACAGACGAGATGGAAATGAGAATACCACTGCAACGGTCCATTTTCTTCGTATGGGTAAATTATCTCAGTACTTAGGAACGACGACAACTATTATTTATAATTATATTGTATTGATTACTTAGCATAATGTATGTGCGAACAAATCAAGTTTCAAAGCGAGGCAACCTTGAAGTTTGTGCAGTTTGGCTGAAGTATGCCAAACGAAAAGAGTATTGATGCATGAGAACAGTTTTAAAGTTCACTGGGCAAAGGAAGAGGCTTTTTAAGCTGTGAGCTCATGAGAGAGATCAGACTTGTTTTTAATTTAATGAGAATCGGGTCTTGTAGCCTTTGAAATGACTGGAGTGAATTTGTCATGTGTTCATGTGAACGTGATCCAAGCCGTCAGCCTGAGCCGCAAGAAAATCTGTCTAATCAATCAATCAATTACTTCCTAAAACATTTCCTGATGTTTATTTCTCACTAGGTGGAAAGCGTGATTCCAGTGTGACATTAAAAATTAAATCCAAATTTAATTCCTCGTTAAATGGCATAACAAATGGTTGGGTTTTTTTTTTTTTTTCTATTCAGGGGAAACAATCGTGTACGTTCTGTACGAGAAGGGCAATAACCTGGGAGATCGAACGAACTGTTGACGCCATATTCGGAAATATCTCTTTAGTAGCATTGATTTCCATCATCTGTTGCGTGCTGTCAATCATCGGACTCATATCGAGGCTGGTGCTGCAGAGAATGATTCCCTTCTTCAACAGCTACCCTGGAAAGGTTGGTAAAATATTCATGTGATAGTAGTGCCTCTTTGTGAGTTCCCAGTGTTACTCGCTCAGGTTCCTGTATTTTCTAACCTCAACATATGTGTACGATTACGTATCCAATTTCGTCCTTTTTAGGACGAAATTTTTTGTCATTTGAAGCCCTACTCTGGCTTTTGCCAGGGGCCGCAATATAGGCAGGCCATACATATGGCCAAATGTCTGAACGCGGTTTCTGGGACCTCTCCACGGCGATCCTCATCCGCAAGGTGGTACTTTGTGTCATCGGGTGTTTATCGCTTGTGTGATGTCCTGGTGGGGTAAAAAGTCAGTCAGTCAGTCAACCTCAACATATTACTAATACTTTACGTCGTTCTTAGGACGTAATTTTTTGTTATTCGAAGCCCCACTCTGGCTTTTGCCAGTAGCCGCAATATAGGCAGGCCATTAATATGGCCAATTGTCTGAACGCGTTTTCTGGGACCTCTCCACGGTGATCCTCATCCGCATGGTGGCATTTGTGTCATCGGGTGTTTATCGCTTGTGTGATGTCCTGGTGGGGTAGAAAGTCAGTCAGTCAGTCAACCTCAACACTACCAATAACCCAATCATCCACTTTGTGAGATGCAGTTTTTCTCGTAATTTGAAGCCCTACTCTGGCTCTTGCCAGGGGTCACAATATAACCCGGCCATAAATATGGTCTAATGGCTGAAGGCGGTTTCTGGGACCTCTGCACTGTGATCCTCATCCACATAGTGGCACTTTGTGTCATCGGATATTAATCGCTTGTGTGATGTCCTGGTGGGGTAAAAATCTACTACTACCACTAACCTCAGTACTATCAATGAGCCATTTATACCCTTTTATCCACTTTGTGAGATGCAATTTTTTGTTTTTTGAAGCCCTACTCTGGCTCTTGCCAGGGGCCGCAATATAGCCCAGCCATAAGTAGGATCTAATGGCTGAACGTGGTTTCTGGGACCTCTTCACACGTGATCCTCATCCACCTGGTGGCACTTTGTGTCACCGGGTGTTTATCGCTTGTGTGATGACCTGGTGGGTGAAAATCTACTACTACTACTAACCTTAATGTTTCTTTATGGGATGGAATTTCTTGTTTTTTTTGAAGTCCCAACTCGGCTTTTGCAAGGTGCCCTGAATATAGCCAGGCCATAAATAATGTGTTAGGTCATAGATATGGCCTAACGGCTGAAAAGGATTTATGGGACATCTCCACTGGTGATCCTCATCCGCATGGTGGCACTTTGTGTCACCGGGTGTTTGTTGGGTGCTTGATGTCTAGCTACAACTAGGTGCAACTAGCTACCTACCTATACTCTCTCTTTCATTTTGTTGGTCGTCCCCAATTGCGATGCATTTCTTCTTTGCTTGAAGCCACACCCTAGCTTTTGCCGGGAGCCCTAAATATAGCCGGGCCATAGATATGGTCTAACGGCTGAAATGGGTTTATGGGACCTCTCATCCGCATAGTGGCACTTTGTGTCACCGGGTGTTTATCTCTTGTGTAATGTCCTGGTGGGGTGCAAAAAGCAAAGTAAGCAAGCACACTTGAGTCAATTGTTTATAAGTCATCCCTTCGTGTGATGCAATTTATTAATTTTTGTGGGGAAGCTCCACCCTGGCTTCTGCCGGGGGCCCTGAATATAGCCGGGCCTGAAATATAACCTAGCCTTCAATATGGCCTAACGGCTGAAAGGTTTTTCTGAGACCTCTCCACGGATGATACTCATCCGCACAGTCGCACTTTGTGTCATCGGGTGTTTATCAGCTGTGTGACCTCCTGGTAGAGTACAACTTACCTACTTATACTCATCTCTTTCATCATCACCAGACTTGAGTCTTGCTTTGTTAAAGTGTACATTAATTTAGACATGCTATATATTGTGAGCTACAGATGGGTACAAGATGTCAAGGCTAGTCTCTACTGTCATATAAAGATGTGTGCAAGCGGGACATGAGTGATACAGGTACTGAGGTAGATTCGTGGAAGAAACAAATCGTGTTGTATGTAGGGGGCACATCGAGGAGAAAAAGAGAATAAAATTCATGCATCCTTTTATGTAAAACAAAACAAAACAAAAATCGACTGCACTTCACCCTACTGCGAGCAGTATCGGTTATAACTGTGGTCTGGTTTCTGTGTGCTAATTGTTTTGGCTACGAAAACTAGTGGCTTGAAGCGGCACTCTAGCACTTAGTGAGGGCTGCTGAAAAAGGGGTCGGCATGCACTAAACACAACCACACACACATATATAGTCATTATTTGTACAATTACACACACACAAACACACACATATATAGTCATTATTTGTACAATTACACACACACAAACACACACATATATAGTCATTATTTGTACAATTACACACACACAAACACACGCATATATAGTCATTATTTGTACAATTACACACACACAAACACACACATATATAGTCATTATTTGTACAATTACACGCACACAAACACACACACATATATAGTCATTATTTGTACAATCACACACACACAAACACACACACATATAGTCATTTCTTGTACAATTACACACACAAACACACACATATATAGTCATTATTTGTACAATTACACATACACAAACACACACACATATATAGTCATTATTTGTACAATTACACACACACAAACACACACATATATAGTCATTATTTGTACAATTACACACACACAAACACACACATATATAGTCATTATTTGTACAATTACACATACACAAACACACACATATATAGCCATTATTTGTACAATAAAACAGACACAAACACACACATATATAGTCGTTATTTGAACAATTACACACACACAAACACACACATATATAGTCATTATTTGTACAATTACACACACACAAACACACACATATATAGTCATTATTTGTACAATTACACATACACAAACACACACATATATAGTCATTATTTGTACAATTACACACACACAAACACACACATATATAGTCATTATTTGTACAATTACACATACACAAACACACACATATATAGTCATTATTTGTACAATTACACACACACAAACACACACATATATAGTCGTTATTTGAACAATTACACATACACAAACACACACATATATAGTCATTATTTGTACAATAAAACACACACAAACACACACATATATAGTCGTTATTTGAACAATTACACATACACAAACACACACATATATAGTCATTATTTGTACAATTACACACACACAAACACACACATATATAGTCATTATTTGTACAATTACACACACACACAAACACACACATATACACATTTTATATATATATATATATATATATATATATATATATATATATATATATATATATATATATATATATACACACACACACACAGATACACACATAACATACCTGTCTGCAGGCCCATGTGTGAATGCACGCGAAAGCGTTTTGCATACAAACACATGGATTTGACTCCACAAAGGATGAGAGCTGAGCGTTGGAGAAAGACCAAAAAATACACATCTTGACATCAATGGTCCTGAAAACTGAAGCTCTAACTGTGAAAGGCTTTTCTTAACTCAGGGAGGTCATGGATGGCTCAGGCAGAAGACACGATCAGACAGGTTTGCATCCTTGAGAACATTAGGCGAGGAGAAGAGTGGGTCAAAGTGCCACCTGAGCAGTCAGACTTGTGTAGAGTCATAATCACGCTGAGCCGGGAATGCAGATACTGGCCAGCAGGTGCCACAGAGATGGAAATTCAGCAATTAATTCAAGATAATGCTCGCTCAAAGGATTTGATTATTTACACAGACGGTTCAGTGCCAAGAGGCAAAAGAAGTGCTTGGGGCTTCTTAGCAAAAGTTAATGGTCGACGTTTGGTGCAGGAGAGCCTAGCATATGATACCACAACATCCAGCTTAAGAATGGAGGTGGAGGCGGTCACTGCAGCTTTCCGCTGAATAGAGAACACGACACACACACACACACACACACACACACATACACACACACATACACACACATCGGGATTGTAACTGATTCAGAAAGCATGCTGAGGAAGATCAGAACAGACATGCTTCGTGCAGAGTGGCATGCTTCGCTGCGGAGGACACGGGTGAGAGTATTGTCTGGATTTTTTTTCACCGTGGCACGCTGGTGTGTTGTGAAATGAACAGGCGGACAGACTGGCTGGCTCTGCACAACTTGGTGAAATACTGATGCATGATAAGGCAGACGTGGTTAGTGCCTTGTGGGAGAGCGTGTACAGTTCGGAGGAGCAGATTGATCACCACAGACTGGTGAGATTGATGCAGCGGGGAGTGACGAGAGGTTCTGGCATATGCTCGAGGCTCAGAGGAAAGGCAAGACGGACGTTTAATCAGAATGCTACTGTCACCATTAGTATCGGAACTCTTCGCTGGCTGTTGAAGATGGGGACGGGGCGCTTATGGGAATGCCCCGAGTGCTGTGATGTCGGTTCATGAATCAAATCAATCAATCAAAACGCAGATGGACGTTGCCAATCACCATCGCCTTCGCCATGAGATGTGAGTCCCATGCCTCCCCATACCACAATACAACACTATCGTCTGGAAAGTCGTAAATAACTAACAGAACATGTTGAGAAAGCTGGAGACAGACATGCTCCGTGCAGAGTGGCAAGCATCAATTCAGAGGTCCCGGGTAGTTAGCATCCTTCGGATATTTTCGTCAGGTACTGCCGGTGTGTTGGGAAATGAGCAGGCAGATACTGCGACTGATTCTGCATCATTTGGTGGTGAATTGATGTATGACAACTAGATGCTGAGAGGGCCCTTTGGGAGCGAGTGAACAGTGCCGAGAGCAGACAGATCATGACGGTCTGAGGAGAATGGCGCTGTGAGGAGTTACAAGTGAATTTTGCAGACGCTCCACACACAGGAGAAAGACGAGACGGATGTACAATTAAATAGTTATTGGTGCCAACGGAATTGGAACTCTTCACTTGCTGCTTAAGAT